TCACTAGCGCGTTGGACCGACGGAGAGCACCGATACCGCGGCACGCTCTACCGTACTCTCTCGGTCGCACACCTTCCCCCATAGACCACTGAAATTCCTCGGCACGCGTCAACACCGACGGAGAGCACCGATACCGCGGCTCGCTCTCCCGATCTCGCTCGCTCCCGTTTGACCGCTCCGGCCATCTTCGGTACCGTTCGGCACGCGTCGGCACCGACAGAGAGTACCGATACCGCGGCTCGCTCTACCGCTCTCGTTTATTTATGATGTTCATATTCCCTAAATAAATACCATTTTTAACTAATTTGTTTAAGCGACATGTTCCTTTTAAAGATTCAGCTCTCCAGTATAAATCCCTAAGACCGTTATTTATTATTCATTTCATATCGTTAAATACGATTTTTCTCACAGGATACCGATTTCTATTACAGAATATTCTAAAACTTCTGTATTTCACTTAATTTGACAGACACGTAGCTGAATATTAACGTACGTTCATTATTTAATTACTCGCAATAAATAAAATGTATATCTCGTCTGTGCTTAAACCTACTCCGATCACTTTTTCACCCAGATAGCACAAGACGCCTTGAAGACGACTTAAAAACGCTTTAGACTTAAAATAGCCGTAACATACAGTAATAACAGTACGGTACCCATTATAAACCCACTAACATTGTCAAACCTTAATCATCGCATCATCGTCAAAATTCTCTCTGCCTGACACCCCACCAATCGCTTCCCTTACTACTAAACACCTATCAACATTATCAACATCCCCCATTCCTCTCACCCCGACTCCACCGACCACCGTTCAAATTCGAATCCCAAAAATATCCACCAAACCAGACCAAAACAGTCGCAATTACTACAGAACCCTTTCCGATAAAAGAGGTCGAGCAAAGTTACAAAGTCGCCGGTGGTAGTCCGTAGTCTTCGAAGATCGTCGGGGTAGGGGGTTGGTAGACAGAAAGTAGGCGAAATAGAACTACGAAAAAGGATCGGAGTGGACGGAGGATGGCGCGAGTAGAAGGTCGAAGAGAGGGGGCGCGTAGAGAGGACAGGGAGAGGGAGAGAGCCGAGCCAGTTCAGGAGGCAAGGATAGAGGCAGAGAGTGGCGTAAAAGCGTAGTCGTGTCGCACGTACGCTCGTCTGACGGGGACGTGCTCCGCATTGCAACTCGCGAGTGGAACACGCCGGGCGAGTCGAGCCAACCCTCTGAGTTCCACCCCCCGAGAGGCCATCCCCCTGCCTCTCTGTCTATGTCCCCTCTCCTGGAACTCCCTGGAACACCCTCGTCTCCTCCTCCTTCCTGTTTCTCCCTCTTCCTCCATCTATCTCCCTTCTATAACCTGTGCTTCCTATTCTCCTCTTTCTCTTGCCAGTCATTTTCTTCGATTCTCTCCTCTCTCTGACAGGGCCTCTCATTTTCGCCTTTGGATTTCTTCCATCCGCCCACCATCTCCCTGCACCCCTTTGTCGGTTCTTTTTTTCTTTCCTCTTTTCCGCTATGCACTCTTTCGATCCTCCATATCCTCTTTCTCTGTCTGTGTCTACACCTGTCTCTGTCTTTACCCCTCTACTCGCGATATACCAGACATCCCTCTCTCCCAGGCCTCATTGCGAAGACCAAACACATGCTCCCTATCTATCATCAAGATGTATTAGCGTCCAACATTCGCCGGGTGAACTCGTCGCTGTGCTGCATTATGCAGGAGGTGCGCGCGCGCGCGAAAGAGAGATAGAGAGACCGCCTAGCCACCGAAACCTATGCGCGTCGAACACACAGGCATTTCTTGTTTTACATGTTTTCGCGTGCCGCCTGGATAACCTGGCACCTATATACCGAGGATAGTTTCGGTGGAAGCGTTACGGACGAAGGAAAGCTT